ATTAATGGATTAAATATTTTCATTCTAAAATAATTGATTTATTTTACATCCAATTCAAAAATATCAATGGGATGGAATGAATCTCTATAGTAGGACATTTCCTCATCCTCTTATTATCTGAGTCTAACCAATTTGAAGACTTGACCGCACATTGGACATCTCTACAACGGACCTTCTCTTAACATGAAGAGATGGATTTCGTGTTATTCATAATCATCTTCATTCTGTAAACCAGTGCATCCAACATATCTGAAGGGAGTATCAGCAGTAAAAATCACACAGGGATTGTCTACTGTACCAAAGTTGACTGTTTAGATATTATCTAAGTTATTGTAAACTTGTAAATGGAAGGGATTCCCGGAATAGGCAGCATAATATTCATGAAGCACTTCGTCGAAAGCCTAATAAGTCAAGTTTGGTGTCATTGAACTGTGCACACCATCTTATCGCACATATGACTTTATGTGTCTGATTGGGGCAGTAATCTTTCTAAATGTTTTAGTATATTACCACGCTTTTTAGAGTCTTGAATGTATCCAACACATTAAATGTAGAGGAGAATGACTTCTTACTCACCAACCTCAGCATATTTAAATCTTTATTTTATTAATAATTATATCCTAATATCATGCTTTAAATAGATATTGCCTAAATAAAGCCCTTCTCCCCCTGTCTTAAGATTATTCTAATCTTCCACTGGCATTTATTTCTGTCCAGTTACAAACTTATTAAATGATAGTTGTAAGTTATATATTATTTAATTCAATTAAATGGGAAGCTGTTCTGGTCTGTGTTCAAAAATTATTGTGGATAAACCTATTATACTTAACGTTTCGGAGATTGAAGTTATCGAAGGTGTCCTTAGTGATGAATATTATCATCTATCAGCGTAAATGTCATAACAAGTGGAGGATAAACAGATTTTGAGATTGGAAACTGGTGCCATATATGAAGGCGACCTATTGAATGGAGCCAGACATGGGAAAGGAAAGCAAACTTGGCCAGACGGTAATTAAATTAGTGATTAAAGGATCTTATTACATAGGGGATTTTATAAATGATAAAGCTTAAGGATATGGAAAATTAGTGAATATATGCGGGAATATTTATGAAGGACAATGGTTGGATGATAAGGCCAATGGAATAGGGAAATTTATAAGCACTGATGGATCATATTATGAAGGCGAATGGCTAAATGACAAACAACATGGATAAGGAAAGGAATAATGTTCAAGTAAATGTATAAGGCATAAGTATCTAGATGGCTCTTTCTATGAAGGGGAGTTTTATAAGGGTGCTCGACATGGCAAGGGGAAGCTAGTTACCATAGATGGATGTTAATATATTGGAACATTTGAAAATGGAGTAATCAGCGGATAAGGTATGTATGTATATCCAACTGAGATAAGGTACATATAAATGGGCAGATGGAAAAACTTATGAAGGAGATTTTAAACATGGACAACTCTGGGGCAAGGGAGTCATGAAATGGGAAGATGATCGAGAATACACAGGGGAATTCAAAGAAGATAAAAGACATGGCTTTGGAACTTACAATTGGAGTGGCAGAAAATACATCGGAGAATGGTTAAATGGACAATAGCACGGAAAGGGCGTCTATATTAGAGAAGATGGATAGCAAAGGGAAGGAGTCTGGCAGTATGGAATTAGAGTAAGGTGGAACGATAAGTTATAAACACAATAAGAGTATGAAACAACTCAAAACTGAAGTACTTATTTTCTTTCTATAAATTAAACTTTAATTGATAGTTATCAAATAAATTAAAATAATATTTCATTATATCATAATCACTTATTTGCAGGTGTAACAAAAGTCTTTGAAATACGCAATAAGTCACACTCTCTTCTCGTGGTTTCTTAGATTATATTAAAGAATGTATTTTCCATTATTAAATCAGTTAATTCGATGAATTCATCCTCTAGAAACATTGTCTTATAATCTTTGTAGTCTCTTGGTATTGTCCTTAATTATACATATTAATATTTACAAATCTTCAACTTAAACATCCTCTCCTTCCTTAGGTTGTTATTCAGGTTAATACAGGGTTATTGGTTATTGATCTAAAGCTCTAAGAATCTAGTCAGTATGAGAGTCAGTCAAGAACTCTGTAATAATCTAGCCTAGTAGTTATTAGAAAGGGTGGGCCATAGCATTATGAATAGGAGGAGGAGGTTATTTAAATGAGTTCACTAATTCTACATTTAAACTTGATTTCTTTTTTATTCTTAAAAACAAGGTTTCTTTATCCACTGTTATCGCTTGCGAATTTTAACTTATCTAAGAAGTATTCACTTGTTAATTTTTATTTTCCCAACTTATTGTGCATTCACATTCTCCCTCATATACAGAAGGAGTTGAGGCTGCAGTCAATGTTAATTTCAATTCTATAAATGACTAAGGTTCGAGTTCTCCCTATATAGGTTCAATCAAAAATTCATCTCCACAGCATAGTCCTGGTCTATTATTTGAAAGAGTGAATTATGAGACACCAAAATCAAATGTAAATTTTCTATCTGCTGATTGATTGTACAAAATGATCATTCTATGTGCAGATTTTAAAGGCAGTAATTCTCCAAAATCTATTTCTTCCAAAGAAAAGAACACTTTTGAGCCTATAGGAGATTGATGTGATCTTTATCTTGGAATTTCTATAGCTGATTTTTAAATTTAATTTTTAGGTTGATTTGCATATCCTCTTCCTTGAATGGCTAGCTTCACTGGTTGAATAACTTTGACCATATCTGAAACCTCAACCAGTAATTCAAAATAGTATGTTTTCTATTCTAAAGGTTTGAAAAGGCAATATAAATATTATTTCTCATTAGGCAAGAGGGATCCTTAAGGATTCTGAATATCAAATACATTAAATTAAGAATCAATGATCTCTCCATCGATATCCATTTCCTACACAAGTGTTTTATAAGACACTTTCGAACTTCCGACATTTTATATTTCTATTGGATATTTTAACAGGTTACAATAATCCAACTGGAGTTTCAGGCAACTCAAATGAGTTTTTCTTTACAGCTAATCTACCTTCTAATGGAGCAAGTGTTGTTCCTTTCAAATTTAAAAACTAATGGTTTTCCATTCAAAATTTATAAGACAACCCTTAGAAAATGACTCTCATTCGAGATTCCCTTAGATTTGAGTTGCTCATCTAAATTGCAAGGAGTGTAGATTAGCTCTATATCTTTGAAACATTTGGGAGCTATAACACCACCTTTGGGTCTAATTTAAAATATGTTCTTTTCTAAAATGGCTTTTTCAAATGTATCCTCTTCAGTAGGTTCTCCAGGATCAGCCCAAGGTTCTAATTCTATTTGATGATCAGATGGTAATTTAAATTGCCACTCTAAATCAGTACCTCCAATATTCTAAATTGTTATGACTATTTTCCTTGATTTTACTTATGGTTTGGATGGTAAGTATCCAAAATTCCAATCATAACTTCTCAATCTCTTTTATAACTATTAAGCTTGGTCAAATGTCAATTATTCAATTTTCAAAAATTTCTATTCATCCTCATTTAAATCCTTTCCTAATTCTGTATTAATTTGATTGATTTAGAAGTTTTCCCATAGTGTGGCAACACTAATTGAATCATTTCTCACATCAGCGATTTTTAGCAAAGGATAACTTCCTTTAGCCTTGATCTCTAGTTTGCACTTCTAAGATACAATTTTCTTATTTAAGTAATTAGGACCTTTAGAGGTGCTTTTGGATTCTTCTCTGTTGCAATAACATCCAAAACTAGATCAAATTCACAGACTTCTATTGGATTAAACATAATTCCAATGTCTAATTTGGAATTGGCAGCAATAATTCCATTCTGTAAATCCAGAGTGAAGGATCTGTTAATAAGACTAACCATTTAATGATCGATTTTATCCTTATCCTTGCTTTTTGGTCTAAGAACTAATTCAATATAAAATGTGCAATTTGAATTATTAATTAAAGTGGCATATTTTTTAGTATTGAAGTTAACTTTGATAATATTGAAGTCGATTTGTTTAACATTAAGTTCTAACTCTCCATCTGTGCCTTAGCCAAATATTTCGAATTGATAAGACAATTCAATTGGTTTTCTTTGTTCAAGTGGAAAGTCTTGATTTCCTGATCCTGGAATATGATACCCAATAAGATTTTAGTTGTCTGCAAGAATTTCAGTAGCAGTCATAGGTACTTTGATTCTATATTCTTTCTTCTTTTTGTAAGGAATAAATTGGCAGTCTAGATGAAGTACTTCATTGGGTTTAATTTAGCCAGATGGAGGTTCTATGTATAATTCATTTTAGTATTTCTCAGGGACATCGATTGAGTAACTCATAGGCACTCTTGATTCATTATGCAACAGTGATCTTTTATCTAGAGTAAACTCCAACGAAGGAGGGAGGGAAGAAGACTTTTCCATCATTTTACAATTTCAATGAAGGAGTAGAACAGTATCCTATAGCTTACAAAGTTATTTAATTGGAAGATTAATGATTCATATGACAAACCAGAGTTTGGTTATAGGCCTTATTTTCAACTGGCACAAATTCGACAATAATCATCTATGATGACTTACCAAAGATTAATCCTTGATTTGGATATACTCTGAAGGTTCTTGTTGGATCCGGGCTAAAATTAAAATAGATTGGAGTGTCTGACTTATTAATGAATTCAACTGTTTGATAGACAGATTCCTCTATTGTGCAAGGAGGGAAGTACAATTTGTTAGATGGTCTAAGTTCTACAATTGGAATATAAGGTTGAGAGTTAATCCCAAACGAATGTCCTACACATC